TGTTCGTCGATAACACTTTTTATCACCTTTGAGGAGCATCACTTTAGAATATGGGTGCAGTTGATTGGAGGGCACCACAGGTTCATCTTACTTCTTTTCTCTCCCACTTTTGTTTTTGGGTCAGTTTGTATTGCTTTCAACTCATGGTAGGCAACTAAATTATCATTATTGTGTTAATGTGCTTCTCTTTTTCTCAAACAAACATAGAATTAAAGTGTTGTGTTTTGGTATGAAATAATCATTATCGTATCTTTGTGCTTCTTTTTTGCTCAAACAAGCATTGAATGGGAGCATGCGTGTTCTGGTACTAAATGGTCATTATCTTGTCTATTTGCTTCTCTTTTTCTGAAACCAACAACACAGAATGGGAGTGTTGTGTTGTGGACCAGCGTGGTCTGACATCTTTTGTTTCTGTTTCAACAGGTGTTTATCACTTCGGCTAACGGTACAGCCCAAGTGGACATGGACTTTAAGAGACAGGTGAGGGATTTTGAGCAATAAATCGCGACCTCAGAATTACAAAGCTCTATCTGACATTTTTGGCCGATTTGAGTTACATACTACTAAGACAATGAGGTCAGAAATCAATTCTCTATCTGCTCTATCAAAATCATTAGATTATTTTGTGTCATTATCAAGATAATCAAATAATTGTATTTAAAAAAGCTGGAGATATTGTGAAACTCAAAATGTTTTACTTCAAATTTCTCAAAAACGAAGTACCGAGCAGATAGAAGTTTGTAATTCGGGGGTAGCAAAATAAACAATAAACTGTACAGAAAGTTTGGATGATGCTTGTAAGCTACGGGTAAACAATACGTCAGGTACTGATATTAATAAAACTGCGTTTGTAGTGCCCATTTTCTTCTCAACGAGGTGCACAGTGTGCATCACAATTTTAAAAAGAAATAGGTCAGGAAAAATATGCCCAATGCTGTAGAAGGAAAAAAAAACCTCTGCTAAAAAAATGTACTCACAGATTGACATCAATGCAGGAGTCGTGTGTGTGTGTGTCGCTTGTGTGAAGACTAATTCATGCTGTTGGTTCTGTGCACATCATCGAAAAATTTCACCTTCCTTCTTTCATTCTGATACATATCTTTATTTTACTGTACAGCTGATAAATGCAGATCAATGTAAAGCGCTCAGAGCTTTTACTTTTTTGGAATAGAGCGCTATATGAATGCAATCTATTACTGTTATTATTGTTATTGTTATTATTATTATTATTATATGTTATTATTATTATTAT